CTGTCAAAGCATCACCAGCAAGGCAAACCCGAAAAACCGAAAGTCACAAGGAGCCCGGATGTCAGGCTGGGGCTGACCTCCGTGAGCCGCCTTTGTGGTGGGTGCTATGTTGTGCAAATCTGAACTGGTAAGATGTGTGCTAATGCAATCCCAGCCTGCTTTCTGATAGCTGGAGGGGCTCAAAGGAAGGTGAATTTGGAAAAACCACCTGGTGGCTAAAAAGATTCTGAAAACCACTTCCTACATCTCACTACAGAAGCATTAATGTGAGTAGGGGGGCTGGCCAGACCTCCACCCCCTGGGAGAGGATTCCACAATATAAAGTGTGAGCAGACTTCAAAAAGCTCATAGAAAATGAGCTTAAAAATAAGGTTTTTTATAAAAGACTTACTGGTTTATTTGAAAGGCAGAGTTATGGAAAGAGAGAGAGAGAGAGAGAGATGGAAAGAGAGATATTTCATCCACTGGTTCATTCCCCAAATGGCCGCAAGAGCTGAGGTTTGGCCAGGTGGGAGTCAGGAGCCAGGAGCTTCTTCCAGGTCTCCCACATGGGTGCAGGGCCCCAAGCACTTGGGCCATCCTCCGCTGCCTTCCCAGGTGCATTAGCAGGGAGCTGGATCAGAAGTGGAGCAGCCGGGTCTCAACTGGCAGTCCAGTGTGGGACGCTGGCGTCACAGGTGTCAGCTTAATGCGCTGAGCCACAATGCCAGTTCCTGGGTGTTTTCTTGTTTTTGTTTTGCACAAAACTTTCTGTTTTCTGAGTTTTTTGGATTTCGCAAGAACAGATGCGGAGTGACAAAGCAGGGCTTGAGCCTGCACAAGCCACTTAACCTCCCTGTGCCAACTGTGTTTTGTGTCAACAAGGACCACTTGGGCTTGGCGGTCTTCTTGCACAAATGCCCACAACAGACAGGGCTGGGCCATGCTGAAGCAGGAAGCCTCGAACTCAGAACTCAACCAGGCCTCCCACGTGGGTGGCAGGAACCCAACCCCTGGGGCCAGCACTGTCCTGCCCCCTTTCAGGGTTTGCCCAGCTGGAAGCTGGCATAGAAGCCGGGCACTGTGCTATGGGGAGGCCAGCATCCCAGCCAGTGTCTCAAGTGCTGAGCCAAGCCCCTACCCCCAGGAATGACAGGACAAGGGGATCCCCAGACAAGGGGAGCACATCCAGGGGTGTCACTGAGACACATGGGGTGGGGGGGTTCCTGGTGGGGGAGACGAGTGGCTCTCCAGAGTTGTGGATTCAGGGTCACACAGCTCCGGGGGCCAGGCTCTGCTCCCTGGCCTCCTGTGTCTGAAGGAGCCCCCCCGCCCCAGCAGAATCTGCCCGGCTGGCTGTGGGGGTGCGCGTTCTGGGGACCCTTTCTGAATCGACCCCTCCTAAGCGACTTCAGCTTGCAATCATCCAGATGCCGACTCAGCATGTTTGACCTAATTCCTGGAAATGAGAAAGGGGAGTTGCATGATGGCCGCCGTGTGGGGGCGCAGCCAGGGCGGGGCCTCTGGGACGCTTCCAAGGTCTCCCTCACCCAACACTGAACCCCAGGGCTCGGAACCCCCATGACCAGCGCTCACTTCAGGGGCAGTTACTCCTGAGGGTCAAGGTCGGAGTGAAGGTGGAGCTTTGCCTTTGGAGTCTTCCTCCTTGCAGCCAGCACAGCCAGGGCGGAGGCAGGCAGAGCACTCACTGCACACTTCCTGTGGGCGCCTTGAGAATGAACGCAAACTACAGGGGCCAGCGGCATCACTTGCAGCGCCTGCATCCCATATGGACGCCTGTCCAAGTCCCGGCTGCTCCACTTCTGATCCAGCTCTCTGCTGTGGCCTGGGATAGCAGTAGAAGATGGCCCAAGTAAAAAAAAAAAAAAAAAGAAGAAGAAGGTGGCCAAAATGCTTGGGCCCCTGCACCCCCATGGGAGACCCAGAAGAAGCTCTTGGCTCCTGGCTTTGGATCGGCACAGCTCTGGCCATTGCGGCCATCTGGGGAGTGAACCAGCAGATGGAAGACCCCTCTCCCTCTCTCTCTCTTTCTCTCTTTCTGTGACTTTCAGTATTATTTTTGCATCTGGGTAGTGGGATTCCGCCCTGCTCTCTTGTTGTTTCCTTTAAAACCTATCTCTGCATTTCGATGGTGGCGGGAGCATCCCTCAACTGCTTGGAGGGGGGCGGATTTCTCGCCCTCCCCCCCAGAAAACCTTCTACGGCTTTCGACACCTGAATATCTCATCTCCCAGGTCACCCTGGCACGATTTCTGGGATCCTTGAGCCCGCCTTCCTAACCCGGGGTGTCCCGGGATTCTCCTCTCGGGGTTCTATGGCAATTTTTTAGGCGAACCGGCTTTGGGGAGGAGCCGCCCGCCCCAGCCCTCCGCGGGCGCCCCAGCTCCCCAGCTGCCCCGCGGGACTCCGCCCCGGGCCCCAGCCCCCTGCCTCCTGGCTCGGCCGAGTGCGGGAGCGTCCGTGGTTGCCATGGAGACCGCGAGTGCACGGAAGGAACCTCTGCGCTAGTGGGCGGGGCTGCGGGAGGCCCTGGGGCCGCGACCGGGCTGGGCGGGGGCTGCTGCGGGTGGAGCAAAACCCGGCGGACCCCAGGGACCTGGCTCTGCAGAGCACAAACAGCCGGCGTGAGCCAGCGACTGCAAAGGCCGGCGGGGACCTCAGCCACCTAAGATTTATTTAAAAGGCAGAGTTAGAGAGAGAGAGAGAGAGAGAGAGAGAGAGATATCTTCTATGCACTGGTTCTCGCCCCAAATGGCCACCAAGATCTGAGCCAGGTCAGTATCAGGAGCCTGGACCTCCATCCAGGTCTCCCACGCAGGTGGCAGGGGCCCAGGCACTTGGACCGTCCTCTGCTGCTTTCCTGGGTCGCATTAGCAAGGAGCTGGACGGCAGGGGAGCAGCCAGGACTGGAATCGGTGCTCTGATATGGGACACACAGGTTTGCAAGCCACAGCTTAACCCTCAACACTACAGTGCTGCCCCACTCGTTCATTTTTGTACTGGTATTAAGGTCATCACCACACCAGGTTTTTGTGTGTTTTAAAAAACCCGTGGGGGGCTGGCGCTGCGGCTCACTAGCCTAATCCTCCGCCTGCGGTGCCAGCACCCAGGGTTCTAGTCCTGGTTGGGGCGCCGGATTCTGTCCCGGTTGCTCCTCTTCCAGGCCAGCTCTCTGCTGTAGCCCGGGAATGCAGTGGAGGATGGCCCAGGTGCTTGGGCCCTGCACCCCATGGGAGACCAGGAGAAGCACCTGGCTCCTGGCTTCGGATTGGCACAGCGTGCCGGCCGTAGCGGCCATTTGGGGGGTGAACCAACGGAAGGAAGATCTTTCTCTCTCTCTCTCTCTCTCTCACTAACTCTGCCTGTCAATAAAAAAAGATAAAATAAACTTCTGAAAAGGGCTCACGGCATAGAAAGGGTTAAGGATTCCCAGGCTACAGGAGCCCTGGTGGGTCAGCCTGCAGAGCCTGTCATAAGATGACCTTTGAGCAGGGGCCAGAGTAAGGTGGGGGCAGGACATTCTGGTTGGACAAGGGCAAAGGCCCTGGGGCAGGGGGAGCCTGGTGTTCAGCAGAGAGGAGGTGGTGTCGCCAGAGTGGAGTGAGGAGGAGAGGATAGGAGAGAGGCAGGAGAGATGTTGTAGGGCTCTGTGGGCAGTGGTGAGGACGAGGCTTTTATTCTGTGTGAAATGGAAAATTTTCAAACGAGTAGCGACAGCTCTGGGAGATCTTTCCAAAGCTTCCCCCAGCTGCTGAGCCCAGGTGGGGGCAGGTGGCGCGGGGGAAGCAGGGACCCCCAGTGACAAGGGGCAAGAGATGGGGGTGGGGCTTCAGGGGCTGAGGCCACGAAGGGAGAAGAATGGGATGAAGCTGGCAGCCGGGTCTTCGGCAGCCTGGCTGGGGTTTACTCCAGTGCTGGGACCTGGTTCCGGCATCAGACCCTCCACTGGGAGCACCGGGTAGCCCGGAGCAGTGCCAGTTCGCCCACTGGTAAAAGGCTGCAAGCGAGGGTCCCCCACCGGGGCCCTGGCACCAGGTGCCTTGGGCACATAGCAAACACCTGGGTCCAGGGAGACCCCCAGGCCGGCCACCTGTTACTACTGCTAGTCCCGCTGTTCCAGTGCGTGTTACCTGGGGAACCTTACAAACACTCCACACCGCAGGGGTCCTCAGCCAGCCTGTCTGTGATGGGGCCTAGGGACACCGGGTTTCATTTAACTTATTTGAACTGATATTTCCGATCGCTAAAAATGCAAGCAATCCTGGTAGAACGAAAAATGCAAGTCTCTCCCGCCTCTGGGGGTCCCCATGCCCCTGCGTGGAAACAGCCGCTGTCGGCAGTACTCGAACACACGGTTTGCATGTGGAAATGTCTAGACTTTGGTCTACACCCGCGCGTGCACACACACACACACACACACAGGGCTGAGAAGTCAGGTCCAGGCCCAACTGCTGCCTAACCAGATGACCATGAGGAGGTGCACTTGATTCCTGGGGCGCCGGATCCCCACCGCGTAATGGGCCCACCATGCGCAGTCCCTGTCCCACACACAGTGCAGTGGGCATCCGATGAGCTATTCATGGCAAACACTTAGAATAACGCCCAGGACATGGGAAGTGGCCCCAGAAACCCTGCCACATAGTCTGTGACCGTGGAAACAGATCTTAAGGTAGTCACCCACACACTCAAAATATTCGTTGAGCGCGCCCCCCGAGGTGCAGCTGGGCTCTGGGGCCACTAGCCACGTGCATTGAAAACCGCTGCTTGGTGGCGCCCGTGGCGGCGTTGGCATCCCCTCCTCCGGGGCCTGCACGTTCGGGAAGGGCAGGTTTGGGGACCGCGGCCTTGGCGCGTCAGGTGCTGACGTGGGCTTCAGCCCTTGGCGCTGCGGATCGGGGCCCCAGCGAGGCGCGGGGCGCGGCCACACCCCGGCGGGGGAGGAGAGCGCGGCTGCCCCGAGGGGAGTGGACAGCCCCCCTGTCAGTCTTCCCGGGGCCGGGAGTGTAAGAGGAGAAGGGGAGGTGGGCCTCCCGGCGGGGGGCGGGCGCCGAGCGGCTTCCTGGCCTTGGGCTGCGCCGCCCCGAGCGCGCGGGCTGGGAGGTGGGAGGCGCGGCAAGGTCAGGCCGGAGCCGGGCGCCTGCCAGCCTTGGGGGCGGGAGACCCTCCCGCGGGGGCTGGGCCGAGGCCTCCCGGCGCTCGGCCATATTGAATAGCCTCGGCCTGTCCGTCTTTGTCCGCCGAGTCCGCTCTCCGGTTCCCAGCCACGTCCCGGGTGCCTGGGGCGGGAGGGAGCCGGTGGGCCCCGGCCGACTTGGCGTGGCCTTCGAGGCTGGGGACCCACGTCCCTCTGGCTCCCGCGAGCGGCCTGCGCGCTGCTTCCCCACCAGCGTCGGGGTGAGCAGAATCTGGGCACGCACTGGGCTTGCTGCGAGCGAAGAGCCCGCCCGGTCCCTGGCTCCCCTACCTCTGCCCCAAGACCCGAGGCTGCTGGTAGTTTGTTCGGGCTCTTGGCCCGCCGGCCCCAGAGACCACCCTGGAGATCTTAAAGACCCTCGAGAAGAGCCACGTGGGGGGCTGGTTCCCCTGGGGCTTCCTGCCGTCCCCCGACAGCCTGATCCTATGGAGCGTGCCGGACTCCTGCAAGGATGTGGACTTGGACGTGCTGGTGGAGGCCCTGAAGCCGGTGGGAACCTTTAAGAAGATCGGCAAGGTGTTCCGCCGCGAGGAGGACTCCACCGTGGGCATGCTGCAGATCGGGGAGGATGTGGACCACCTGCTCATCCCCCGGGAGATCCGGCTGGCCGGGGCCGTCTGGAGGGTCATCTCCAAGCCGGCCACCAAGGAGGCGGAATTCCGGGAGCGGCTGACCCAGTTCCTGGAGGAGGAGGGTCGCACCCTGGAGGACGTGGCGCGTCTCATCGAGAAGAGCACCCCGCACCCGCCGCAGCCCCCCAAAAGGCCCAAGGAGCCCGGAGGGAGGCGGCGCGTCCCGCAGATGGCCACGCCGCCGCCGCGGCTGGTCGTGGGCACGTACGACAGCAGCAACGCCAGCGACAGCGACTTCAGCGACTTCGAGGCGTGCAGAGCCCAGGCCGCCAGGGGCGCGCGCCGCGGCCGGAGGGTGCGCAGGATGCCGGTCAGCTACCTAGGCAGCAAATTCCTGGGCAGCGACGTGGAGAGCGAGGACGACGAGGAGCTGGTGGAGGCCTTCCTGCGGCGCGGGGAGAAGCAGCCCAGCGCGCAGCCCGCGCGCCGCCGCGTCGCTGTGCCCGTGCCCGTGGTGGAGGACAACCCCGGGCCGCCGCTGTCCAGGGCCGACCGGTGGCGAGAGTACGTCGGCCGCGTGTCCTGGGGGAGGCTGAAGCAGAGGGTGAAGGGCTGGGCGCCCAGGGCCAGCCCCAGGCTGGGCGAGGCCAGGAGGGCCTCCACCGAGGGCGTGGAGCCAGAGCGCGCTGGTGGTGGCGGCGGCGGCCGTGGGGAGGCGGGCATCGCTGGAGGGGCGCCCAGGCCCAGGCGATGGAGGCCCAAGATCACCTGGGCCTCCTTCCGCCTCCGTCGGAGGGCGGGGGCAGGCGTCCTGGCCGACCAGGGGGCAGGGGCTGCAGAAAATCAGAGGGCAGAGGCCGTGGCTGACCAGGGGGTGGCAGCTGCAGATAATCAGAGGGCAGAGGCTGTAGCTGACCAGGGGGCAGGGGCTTTAGATAGCCAGAGGGCAGAGGTCTTAGCTGACCAGGGGGTGGCAGCTGCAGATAATCAGAGGGCAGAGGCCATAGCTGACCAGGGGGCTTTAGATAACCAGAGGGCAGAGGCCTCAGCTGATCCAGGGGAAGAAGGTCCAGATAACCAGAGGGCAGAGGCCTCAGCTGATCCAGGGGAAGAAGGTCCAGATAACCAGAGGGCAGAGGCCGTGGCTGACCAAGCGGCTGGGGTTTTAGATAGCCAGAGGGCAGAGGCCTTAGCTGACCAGGGGGTGGCAGCTGCAGATAATCAGAGGGCAGAGGCTGTAGCTGACCAGGGGGCAGGGGTTTTAGATAGCCAGAGGGCAGAGGCCTTAGCTGACCAGGGGGTGGCAGCTGCAGATAATCAGGGGGTAGAGGCTGCAGCTGACCAGGGGGCAGGGGCTTTAGATAACCAGAGGGCAGAGGCTGTAGCTGACCAGGGGTCAGGGGCCTTAGATAACCAGAGGGCAGAGGCCTCAGCTGATCCAGGGGAAGAAGGTCCAGATAATCAGAGGGCAGAGGCCTTAGCAGACCAGGGGGCAGGGGCTTTAGGTAACCAGAGGGCAGAGGTCTCAGCTGATCCAGGGGAAGAAGGTGCAGATAATCAGGGAGCAGAGGCCTCAGCTAATCCAAGGGCAGGGGCTGTAGGTAGTCAGAGGGCGGAGGCCTCAGCCATCCAGGAAGCTGAAACTCCACCTGCCCTGGGAGCCACAGGGCCCGTGCCAGGAGCCAGGGCCCGCAAACCGGTCAAGACCGTGAGATTCCAGACCCCTGGACGCTTCTCGTGGCTTCGCAAGCGCTGGAGAGCCTTCTGGAACAGCCCCCGGCTGCCAGTCCTGCCCAGGAGAGGCCCCCGGGCAGGGGAGGCCAGGAGCCTCCAGGTGCTGAGGGCGGGGGCCAGGGCCGAGGGGGGGCGGGGGGAGCGAGAGCAGGAAGCCCAGCTGTGAGGGGGCTCAGGCGGGCACCTCGGGGAGCCTGGCGGAGGGACCCCTCGCGCCCGCCCTCCGCCCGCTGAGCCGCTTCCCTGTTTTTGTTTAAAACAAAAACAAAAACAAACTCCGTGTAGCAACCCAGAGAATGTAAAGAAGCCGAGACGCGCCCACGTCTCGTGCGTCCTCAATGCGGTTCCTGGTGCTCAGCCGCGGACGGAGCGGATTCCCGCCTTTCCCTGGTTCCCTCTTGCCCGCCTGCGTCACGTGGGCAGCCTCCTTGAACTTGAACCGAGGCTTCGAGCCAACAAGCAAATAAAAATGCTTACGAGTCCATTTCTTAGCTTTGGACTTGGCAACCGACAAATGCCTCTTGCTGCTGTCCCGTCCCGGCCTCCGCGATGGCTCTCCTGTCTTTATGTCGCCGCTTTGCCCGCCATCCCTGCACCCTTGGGCTCTGCTGGTTCCGAGGGTGCTCAGCCCAGGGCTTGCACACTTCACCCCAATCTTGGGTATGGGGATTCTGAACCCCCACCCCGGGGGGAAATGCATTAAAAAGACAGAGTCCCAGGACACTGGCACCAGCGATATGGATTGGCCTGGGCTGGCTCTGTGGGTTCTGACCCAGCTCTCCTAACATCCGGGCCAGGTGTGGGGAAGGGGCAAGGAGGCGGGTTGCTAAGGCCGGGTGGGGGGAGGGGAGAGAGTCTGTCTGAACTGCCTGCGCGCTTCACCCACCAACCCCCAGCTACGCTGAACACGGGAGAAAAGGGCGTTCGCCCCCACGCCCCACCCCCACCCCATTTTGTCTTCCTGGCCCGGGGCAAGCCTGGCCTCAGGTTCTTAGCTTCTCCCCTGGGAACTGGAGAATTGCGTCCCGCCGGCGCCCTCGCTTTCTCCTCCGCCTGCTGTTTTCCGAGTTTCCCGGCTGTGTTGCGGGGGAGGGGGTCGTTGCTAGGACCCCCGTGCTCGGGGCAGTGGGCGCCCAGCTGCGAGGTTCCCGGGCAGCCCGAGACCCCGGGGAGGTGTGAAGTGGGCCCCGCCTGGGGCTGGGGGTCGAGGGGAGGTGGCTCCGGACTGACTGAGCGCCCACACTGTGGTTGGCGGTGGCCGTGGGCCTGCCTTGGAGCGGTGACCACGGCGGACCTGGCGAAGGGGAACGCAGAGTCAGGGAGAATCAGACGCGGGGAGAAGCCGTGGCCGGGAGCTGCAGGCTGCAGACTGCCCCTCCCTGCCCGGCCGCACGGCCGCCCGGAACTGGGTGGGTCTGGAGGGGCGGGCATTGGGGTCCGAGGGACGGAAAGGGGTGTGGCCCTAGCAAATAGGTGAGAGGCCAGATGGGCTGAACACCAAGCCGGGTGCTGATTTCACAACCCTCAGCAGCGTGGGCTCCGCCCGCTTCACGCTGCGCGCACGCACGCCCCCAGACCCAGCCTGGAAGGCAGCGCGCGCGCACACACGCGCGTCTAAGCCCCGTGCAGACCCAGGCGCGCCCTGATCGGACGCCAATGACTGAGCAGTCTGTCGCGACTTGCGCCCGGGTGGGTGCGTGGCCACACACGGGTTGTGCTCACGCGCGCGCTGTGCTGGGTGCACGCGCCCTGCCCGGCTGTCGCGAGCACCCACAGTCACGCAAAAGCAGCCCAGGACGGGCACAGACAGAACTACCCACAAACACAGCAGCTCTCCTCGCAGCCTCTCTGCACACACCCTGAGAGCGTGGACACATCTGCTCCGGGATGCCTCCCACCTCCCCTCTCCGTGGGACACAGCCCTCCCCACGCCACCTCTCGCCGTCCACAGCAACCCCAGCACGGGAGGCCCCAGAGGTTGGGAGGAGCCCGGGGTGACCCAGAGCTCCTGGTGTCTGTAGCGTTGTGCCTTCCAACGTGGACTCCAGGTGACCGAGGGGAGGGGCCCAAGACCCCACGCCCCCTCCAGCAGACGACACGTGGGGGGGACAGCAATGGGACATGTTGGGCCCCCAGCTGAAGCCTTGGTGGGTGACAGAAGAGACAGCGGCGGGGGATTGGGGTAAGGAGGGGCTGGGGGTCCCCCCGCACCACCATGTGCCCTGGGGTAGCCAGGGGGCATCCCCCCAGCCCTGCAACAGCCGGAGCTGCGCCAATCCGAAGCCAGGAGCCAGGTGCTTCTCCTGGTCTCCCATGTGGGTGCAGGGCCCAAGCACTTGGGCCATCCTCCACTGCACTCCCGGGCCACAGCAGAGAGCTGGCCTGAAAGAGGGGCAACCAGGACTAGAACCCGGCTCTGCAGGCGGAGGATTAACCAAGTGAGCCACAGCGCCAGCCCCCCAATTATTTATTTTTAAAAGCTTTATTTTGTTTATTTGAAAGGCACAGTTATGGGGGCAGGGGGAGACAAGAGACAGAGATCTACCATCCACCGGGTCACTTCCCAGATGGTCACACCGGCCAGGGCTGCGCCAGGCTGAAGCCGGGAGCCTCATTCGGGTCTCCCACGTGGGTGGCAGAGGGACCCAAGCTCTGGAGCCATCGCTGGGGCCCCTCGTGGTCCCCGTTGGCAGGGAGCTGGATGCCGGAGCTAGAGCTGGATACGGAGACCAGGCCCTCCGCCACGGCCCGGGCAGCGTTTTAACCGCCAGGCCAAGCGCCCACCACACCTGAACTGTGCTTTGGGGAGCACTCTCGGAGAGACAAGTGAGTCCGCGGCGGACAGCCCGTCGCAGCACCCCAGCCCCGACCCACCCGCGCGCAGGCCGGCGGCCCCCAGTCCCCCTGCGCGCTCCAGCCGGGGCGCCCGCACGGTTTGCGTGGCGGTGCTGCAGCGCCGCCTGGCGGGCGCGCCCGGCTCTGCCGCGTGGGTGCGGGCGGGGTCGGGGCGCAGGGTCCCGCGGCTTCTCTCCCGGCGGTTCTAGAACAGGGCCACGCTGCCGGAGCCTCGGGACCCCCCTTCCCCCACTTTAGCAGCCCCAAGGGCCCACGCTGACTCAGCCTCTGAAGGAGGGGGAGGTGGGAGCGGGCGGGGTGGGGTCTGGAGCGGGGCCCGGAGTAAGACAAACTCGGGTCTGAACTCCCCCCTCCCTTTTTTCCCCCGAGTCTCAGTTTCTTCATCTGGGAAATGGGAGTGAAACCCCGCCTCCATCCAATTTCTCCAAACCTACGCTCCTTACCGCACGCGCGCCCTCTCGTTCTGCAAATCGTTTCCCTCGCTTCCTGCGGCCCCCACGACCCTGCCCAGGTCCAGCCCCTGGCCGGGTTCCCCAGCCCCGGTCTCCGGCTCCAGCCTCGCCCCCTGATGGCTGCGGCTCTTACAGCACACGGCTCTCCGTCCCCTGCGCGAGACCCTCCCGGGGACCCCCAGCACCTCATCCCGGCCTTCGCGGCTCTGCCAGGCTGAGCCCCCGCCACGCCACCCTCGGGCGCCCGCGCGGTCGCTTGGAGCCAGGACCCGAGGAGGAGCCTGCGCCGGCCCCGTTGCGCGCCGGTGGTGTGCGGGGCGCTGTGTGAGGAGGCTTTCCCTGCGGGATGCGGGGTCTCTGCCCGGCCGGCCTTCAAGCCGACTCTATGGCTAGAAGGCAGCAGATGGGACAAGAGACGCGGGGGATGGCGTGGTGGGGGAAGGGTGCTTCCAGGGCTCACTCCCACCCACCACCCCCTGCCCACCCCACGCTGCTCCTGCTCCGTGGATGCACCTGACGGCCCTGTTGTCTTGTTGTCACTAGAATGGAGGGTCCAACGACCCCTGGGAGCCCTGGACAGTGCTCCAGCTTCCAGGCCACCACGATGTGCCCTCAGCTCACCCCGGTGCTCCCTCCCGCCACCCGCTCCTCCCTGCCTGGGGTTTTGGGGGCAGCTAGTGAGGGTCATTCGGTCTGGGTTCAGAATCCAGCGCTGTGCGTCTCTGAGCAGGTCACCGGCCCTCTCCAAGCCTCAGTCGTGCCTAAACTTGCACCGAAGCCCTCTGAGGCCCTGCAACAGTGCCGTGCAGTAAGAGCTATAGAAATGGGGCCGGCGCTGTGGTGCAGCAGGTAAAGCCGCCGCCTACAGTGCCAGTATCGCATATGGGCACCAGTTCAAGTCCTGGCTGCTCCACTTCCGATCCAGCTCTCTGCTGTGGCCTGGGAAAGCAGAAGATGGCCCAAGTGCTTGGGCCCCTGCACCCGCATGGGAGACTCGGAAGAAGCCCCTGGCTTCAGATCAGCTCAGCTCTGGCTGTTGCAGCCAATTGGGGAGTGAACTAGCGAATGGAAGACCTCTCTCTCTGCCTCTGCCTTTTAAATATTTTTTTAAAAAAGCTATAGAAATGACAGCTGTCGTTGTGCATAGTGATCAGCGTCGAATCCCAGTTTCCCGCTTCAGAGCGGACTCACCTATGCAGGTTACCCCCACCACCACCACCGTGCACCTGCGCGCTCAGGCAGCACCACAGCTACGCGTCTCTCACCAGCGGTCTTTGAGCGCCACCTGGTGGGCACCATGAGCGCCGCGGCGTGCGCGGGCTGGGGGCGGCGGGGAAGCAGAGCCCTCCTCCCTCGAAGGGCGCCTGGCTGCCCCCGATGCACCGAGGCAAACCGTCACGCCACGTCCTGCACGCCGAGGGGCGAGCCGGGGACTCCTGCCCACTCGCTGGCTCTGCTCCTCCCTTCGCACTGGTCTCGCTTCCATTTTGCAGTTACTTGGCTGCGGGCATCAGAAAAGCTGGCGGCCAGGCGTCTGGGAGTCCCTGAGGCGTGACCACCCCAAAGGAAGCACCCGCACTCTGGGGGCTCAAGGCGACCCCGGACGGACTCGTTCAGATTTGAGGCTGCGGTCTCCACGGGCACCCGGCTGAGGGCGGCGGTCAGGCCCTGGGGCACTGGTCTCCCCGGTCCCTGTGCCCTCAACCACAGCCAGAACTTTCCCTCTTGGGATGAACTTGACAGCTGGAGTCCAGCCGGACTGGATGGGGAGAGATCATTACAAAAAAACTTGCTGGTTCACTCCCCAAATGGCTGCAACAGCCAGGCTGAAGCCAGGAACTCCACTGGGTCTCCCACGTGGGCGCAGGGAGCTGGATCCGAAGTGGAGCAGCCGGGACTCGAACCTGTGCCTACTGCACGCGGCGACTGTATCCACCGCTGTGCTGCAGGCCGGCCCTGGCGATCTCTTTAAAGGCCCTCTTAGGAGCTCAAATAAAGCTCGCCCCCCTCATCCTAGGGCACTGCATTTGCTGCCACTGTTAGGTCACGTGGGGCCTCGGGGGGAAGTCTCGGACGGCGCGGTCAGGGGAAGCTCGTCCCACAGAGCGGCGAGGCCACGGGCGTCCTCCACTCGCAGCGCCACCTGCCATCCTGAGCTGGTGGCCTCGCACGCAGTGCCCCGCGCGGCCGGCAGAGGGCGCAGGCCA